TGACCTTCCGGAGCAGAAGTCGCTCATCAAGATTCTACAGATCGTATGTTTCCGACAGTCCCCGCTCCCTCAAGTCTCAAGTGCAGCTCACAGCTCCAGCCTTTGCCTCCATGTCCCTTACTCAATGCCTTACCGGAGAAGCGACTGGCTCGTCTGCTGCCGCTTGGCAGCTCCATTTGTTTCCTTCTAGGCCTCGTGGCCTGGAGGCAAGGCAGTGATGAAGCATGCGTGAGGCGCTTGGGGACTGAATCTCTGGCGCTGCAGGTTTCAGAAGAAGTCAAGAAGTTCAAGGGATGTGCAGGCCCTCCCTTGCCTGTCAGCGCACTGCGCCACAGAGGCTTGGAGCCTCTTCGTGCGGAGATAGAGAAGCTCCGGCTGTCAAAGGAACTTGTCATTGGCAGACTCCGCCTCAAGGCGAGCAAAAAAATGGGGGATATCATGGGTGTCCCTGTTCGCTGTGGACTCTTCCCTGTTGTCTCGTTGCTTGCGTGCCATCTACAGAAATTCCTTTTTAGCATAACTAGGCTGCAGAGCATTTAACTCCAGTGCGGCGGCTGCTAGGTGGGCGTACCGCCGCAGGCAATTGGAAGCGGGTGGGGTTGTGTTTTGTTTGCATCATGCAGGCGGCTAATTTGGCAGAGGCAAGGCGCTTAAAGAAGGAGGCCCGTAAAAGGGAGAAGGCTATGAGCTCCTCTTCGACAGCTGAACAGAAGAAGACAAAGACTAAACCAGGGCCAGCAACTACTGCGGCCCCAGGCGTACCTCAGGAACAGCCGCAACAACAGCAGCAGCAGCAGCAGGCGCAAGCGCTAGACGACCCTGTCGCGCGAGCTCTCGAACGTTGGGGAGCCCCGCTTGCCAGCACCGCCTCCGCGCCACCGAACCGGGGACAGACCCAAAGGGAAGGTGACGTAGCTGGTGATAAGTTTTACGGGAGTGCTGCAACCGAAGCCCCCACAGCTGAGAATAAAGGAAATCTAAGGTGCGAACGTCGGAGGCTCGTGTCCGTCCCTCCTCAGGCTGCAGGGGGAGCAGACGCATTGGTTGAAGCCGAGTTCGTGGCAGAAGAGGTTTCAGCGCTCAGGGAGAACTCATTGAGCTCGGCGCTCGCCGAAGCCGTGGATAGAGCTGAAGGAGAGTTGCCACTGCCAGATATGTCATGCGCCGAAGCCCTTATACGAGATTTGCTGCCCCCTCCTTCTTGCCGGACTTGGCAGGCATGCGAGTCTACACAGCCTAAGCGCGAGCCGCCTGCACAGGCTTTTTCCGAGAGATCTGCGAACGAGACGAACACGGAC